TTTGCAGGCAATTATAAATCTGTAATTGATATTACTACAAAAGTGCAAATTTTGTTCATACAGAGAAGGGCCAAAGGCTTTATTCTGTTTTCTTCTGTTTTCTTCTCAAACAGAAGTATCTTTTGCAATCTTTTCTCTTGCTTACAAACATGCCTGCATGATTGCTTTTTGAAAATGTCTTGGCCCATCTGAATCTTTCTATCTGTCAACAAGATGGCAAAATGCAGTGACTTCTCTGAAGGAGTATCAACAATTATGCTTAATATCTTATTCTTCTTGCCTAACTATAACCTACGCAAAGTGTTAATTGTTGCGCAGCATTGCAGTATTCCAGGCAACCATGATCTTGTAGGCTTTAGAAGGGCTTTATTTCGATTTGTCACCAATCCTATCAGTACATGTGAGTCCTATTTTTAGTGTTGTATGAGTTGTCTCGGTCACTGCTTTGATGAATTTCATACTTTTTAATTCCAGATTTACAGATAACACTTTGTGGATAAATTTATTTTTCTGTGTGCTTTTTTGTTGTGTTTTCTGTAACAGACATTTGTTTTCTATCCTGTAAATAGCAACTGCTGTAAAATGATTGGCGGGGGGAGGGAGGGTGGTGAGGAATTGTAATAGTCTTGGTAAGAGTTTGTAACTGACAGATGAATGTAACTTGCTAAAATTACATAAGTGACCTCCAAGATATAGATGGCAGTTGGCCACAGCGGTGCCATTCTCAATGTCCAGCTGAGAAACTAGTGGGTTGCAGCAGGATTGTGTTAATACCCTATATCAGTTGAGAAATGGAGGTGGTGTTGGCTTGGGATACTGTTTTCCCCCACAAAAACCAAGTACTCTTCTATTGCTGTTCAACTTACGGCTGCATTATGGGGTTTGTGGGGAAGCAGTGGTTCTAGGCCTTTTCAGTCTTGAGGCATCCTTCAGATAAAAATGCTAGCTCTTTTGTTCTCACATTTTTTTTATTATGAAAAAACAGAGCAATTTTTCTTTTGCAAAGAACTCAGGAAGACCACACTAGGTTGACATGATTTTAACACTGTAGATTCCCGTTTGAAATATCTGGGTTTATTTTGTGAGTCGTGTAG